CTACTAGTCATTGTAGAGCCGACTAAGTTACTGTCCTTCATTGATGGAGGTTATACATCCAGGTAGAATGTTACATCATACATTTGTACAAAAAAGATCAAGCTACTGGATAAATTCTCTATCTGGAGTCACACGTTTCAGATAGCGTCTGTTTTTTTCATCAGTGACTGAGAATTTTCACTGTATTATGTAAGAAGTGTGGTTGCTGCCTTTAATCTCAGATGATAGCTGTGCCAACATTGGTGTTGTATACCCGGTAGTCATGATTTCCATTGTGTTTCGGGTTCTGAATATGTTATTTAATTGGTATGCAGCAGCTGTTGACTTCTTTTCTTGGTTGGTAGAAAGTGCCCAAAATGTGCCCAAATGATGTCTGAGGATAAAAAATTAATGAAAACAGATGTATACACTGAGTAGAAAATATTCTGTTTTTTTTTTGTGGCCTGTATTGGTAGATGTTCTCCCCCACAAGGCTGTGGCCTATCATAACAAGAAACCATAAACTTTTAATGTCGTTTAATGCATGGTTGAGGCCTTCTGAAGAATGTCTTGAACACATGGATTACTAATTCTAGAGAAAATTACTGATTCTCTAGATCTAATGGTTAGTAGTAGCATTATGAGAGTAGATTTTAATTTGCATGCTGAGGTGAACTTTAGATTTTGACTTTTGCTTCTTGAATTCCAAAACAGCCCTTCCTGCTATTCCCTACAGGCAGCAGCTGTTGCTTCTGTCTGATGAGAAATGACACCTTATTGACATAGAATCTCTTGGCACTGAATGCTGTCATTTATCATGATGAATGGATTTAAGCTTATCATGTCTAACTGTTATATATAGATAGTAAAGCCGAGATGTTGGCAAGTCCTACTGAACACAAGTATGTCAAGGAAGGTAGATCAGGTTTTCTCTTGTCCTAAAAGTATTTTTAAGTGACATTGAAGTTGTTATTGTTTGTTTGCAAAATATTATTAGCTCAACATAACAGGGCTCAAAATTCATTTTTGAGAAATTTAAATTTCGGTGCACAAAAGTGCATATCCACTTACTGTAAATGTCTAATATATGCATGATATGGAATATCCCATTACTACAATATTATAGCCGGAAGATTATGTACCATCTCCTCTGTCCTTAGTGTTAGTTGGCATGTAAATATGATGTTAGGCTTAACACTTTCTGATGTATCTAGTATAAATGCTTCCATGTGCTTAATGCCAATTCTGACTTGTCACTGTCCTTGGTGCTGAAGACTGTTTCCAGGGTCCTTAATCTAATAAATTTCTGTTGCCATAAATATGTAATATCATGGTGTGATCTATGGAATAAAACTTGTATGGATGGAGAGAGAGCATGTGTCAAGGTAAGAGTGAGGTGGCCATGATCCACCATTAGACTGTGTATGCAAAGGCTGAGGCCTGCTGTCAAAAGTAATAGACAAGCAAATAAAACATTGTAACATCCAGATTTATTACACTGTGAGATATTTGTGGATAGGACGAGACTACATCAGTTACCCGTGAAAGAAAAACAATTTTCTCCAGTCACAGAGTCTGTTACATGAAATAAAAGGATTGAGAGACGATAGAAGAGGGCTAAGTGAATAGCCTGATACAGTCAGACAGATATAGGATCAATCTGGAATACTTGGCTCAGGGTTGTGAGTGATTCTACTGCCCACACACCCTAGATCAAGTAGCCAGCCCACACATTATTGATTTTTGCACCAGGCTTTCTTTGCAGCCTCCACAGGTTGACCTGTTAAACCCTCCGATATAACACTTTCTTGTGAAATATCTCCAGATTCAGTATAACAGAAAGGTACTCCAACCACCTGAGGCTGCATCTGTGAGGTGTCTTGACAACCAAGGAAAATTTATGTTACGCAGCAGAGAACATATAAGAACCCTATGATATGTAGAAAATAACAGCTGAATCGCAGATATAGAGTACTAAATATTGCCTTGTAGTATGAAACTTGTCTATCGGCAACAACTTACTACACGACTAAAGCTGATTTAAAAATTGATTGATTGTTCATCTTTGTTTACTCCATAAAAGAATATATTCAGAATCTCAAGTATAGGAAAGACCAAAAAAAGCAAACGAACAAAAAGAATGAATTCATACCACACCAGAATATTTCACAATTAACAGTTAAATTTTCTGGTAAAAAACTGCAAAAAACTTGACTGGTAAAATTGAATCAATCGTTCTTTTGTGATTGATAGGATGTAAAATACATCATCCTCTTTGCTAGAGAATAATATTATCCAAGTCTATTGCTTTCTTCTCTTTCTCTTCTTTTAACTTTAATTTCTAGGTTAAAAGGCTTATATTGTTAAACACATCATGGTCAGAGATTAATCATTGTAGATATGAATCGTAAGAAACGTTCCCAGCCTTTCCCTATTGCAATTGCTCAGTTCCAACTGCCTGGGGGGCGAAACAGAATTTCAGATAAATATCTGCTTGTCCAGGAAATTGAAGGTGTGGGTGTAAGGGTTTTATAATGAGAAATCCAGACTTGTGTGGGTGGATCCAGAATATATGCATTCAAAATGGTTCTGCATTATATTGTTGCGTGATAATATTGACTACCTGTATGTTCTCAACACGCACATATTTTCACCTGGGGATGACTAAAGCAACTGTGGGTATTGATCTTACAATTGGGGACATTCTTTCATTATATGGTCCAAGGCTATTATCACTATAATAAAACCTGGTTCTAGGAGTATGGAATAAATGCCACAATTTCATGTTACAGCTAAATCACTGTAGGCTAGTATTATAAATCAGATTTGATGTAAAGCAAATCAATTCATTTTCATTCATAAGAAACTGATATTAACAGATGCCATATTACATCTATTTTATGGGAAATTTATTAATCATTTTAATGCAATATTAATGGTGCATTTATAACATAAACCTTTGGCTAGCATATAAGGCAAGACCATGCCTGCTTTGTTTGGGTTGAAATTTTGAAAATCTACATTTTATTCAGGTTTTTGTGGGACAAGTAGTGAACATCTGTCCAAAACCAGGCCTTTCAATCTAATAAAGAAGAAATCCTTGATACATGTTCCCAGTGTACAAATGTGTAATGTATTTTGTATTACAAGTGAAATAGCTGCACTTAGATGGTAGTCAGGAGTATATAACTACATGTATTACTGTATCAATCATGTTGTCATTGTCCAAGGTGCTGAAGTTACCGCTGCCATACACATGGAACATATCTTTAGAATGATGCTAACAGGGATTCTTGTCCTTACTTATGTACACCATCTAGATTTCAAAGTTACAAATAAATACTAAGTAGACCCTCTCCAATTATCTTTTAATCAAGGTGCTTTCAGTGAAGCGTTTTTCCATCTGTCAAGACTTCAGGCAAAAAGTGTGTAGATTTTATGAGCATACCAGATAATTTGCCACCTGCTTCAACTCTAAGATTACTATCTTTAGGCGTATGATAACAGGGACTCTTGTCTTTACTTATGTAAACCATCTAGATGTCAGGGTAACAATACTTAAGAGACCCTCTCCAATTAATTCAACTTAACGTAGCACATGAGGCTTATCAAGGGTTAGTTAGAGCCAATTATTGACTCTTAAGAGTCCCTTGCATGCAATAATTGTATCACGATGTGGCAGTTACACAAGTTAGCCAATTACTGCCATGCATTCTTTATTTTACAAGACACCTGGGTAAGAGTTTTTTTGGAAGATTCAATCTTTAAGGACTAACATAAGATTATTGAGGTAGCAAAGTGTTTGTGTGGATTGAGTTGTTGGCTAAGAACCTAAAGGTTCTGGGTTTGAATTGCTGGCAGGCCCTGATGTTGTCCCCTTAGGAAAGACACTTTTAAAAAAATTTATGAAAAGGCGCACGCACATTTCAAGACGTTGAAAAGCGTGTGTAATTAAGATTCTAACTTTATCACCCTCCTTTCAATGATTCTGCTGGAAAATTGATCATAATGACATGATACCTGCTGCCAAAGTTGGCACTTGACGTAGTATCGCTGCGCTGTGTGATGCTTATAAAAGCATTTCCACTGAAATGAAAGAGGGAATTTGGAATCATTCCCAACAACTGAAAGGAGGAAGGAAGACAAGCTATGTGATCTAAATAATAGGAGGTAGAAAATAACTGTAAAATTGGGTAATGACATCCAATGAAAGAATTAAAAGTACTTTTCCTGACAACTCTATTATTAACTGCCTTAACTTCCTTCTTTCTAACCCTATAACCGAAACGTATTTGGTACCAAAAGCCTATTTCATCAGGAAGAAAGTTAATCTTTTGGATTTGAAACCTTATAGGACCTTTTTGATTGGTAGAAAGAGACCTGTGGTACTGTGGTCTTTCTTGCACACCACCACATGTTCTAAAAGGTAAAAGCTCATTCCTGTGTCTGTATTTGACACAGCAATCTGCATAATATATTGAGGGTAAGTGTACAAGTCCCAAGAGACCGTTGCCCACATGTCATCTCCACCCACGCTATTTGGGTTGTGGATGCCAATCACGTCAGCCCGGTCAATGCCCTATGGAGATGGCAGGGAATTTTGTATTAACCTTCTCCCTGCTAAAGTAGCTGTTTGGTACCAAATTTGTACCAGTTATGAGGTTAATCAGCAAGTGTACAAGTCCCATAGAATAAGTTATAGAATAAGTCTGGTGTGCAAAATTTGTCATTTTCAAGTCTACATCTTAGGGCATTTGACCAAGGATCAAGCTATTGCATGTTTTACATTCTTATTTAGAATGAAACTTAAAGACGATTATGAAAATTATGATGATAAAATATTGCTTGTCATTAGGATGAAATCAAAACCTCTTGTGGAAAGAAAGGTGAATGCATTTATCTATTAACTTACTTACTATGATATGTGTTGTATTTTAGGTTGTGAAGAAGGCAGAGAATAAGCTGGAGCCCCTGACGTTGGGAGGGTCAGGTCCCCTGAGCTGGGCAGATGAGATGGAGATGGAGGAGTCCCTGCAGACAAAATCCCCGGCCACAAGTCCCACCAGCACCTCCCCCCCACCTACCACACCCTGGGGGACCAACGCATGGCCACAGAGAGCTCCAGGTCAGATATATCATTAGTCCCGATCATCAGTCCAAAACTCTTGTACAAGGGCTTCTACTATCAAACTTTTGAATTACCTGTAGTTCAGCAAGTGGGTTATTATATTAGTCACCAAATTGCAATTTGCAGATTATTTTGGGAGTTGCTTATTTGTTGGAGTCACATTAGGTATGAGGTCTTCCAAATGTTAAACAATCATTCCTGTGAACATGTATGAAGATTGTATTGTCATACATGTCCTTAGTTAATTTCCATTACACATTTTCAAGGGAAATAAAGTCTTACTTATATTTGCATAGCCCTTCCTGTACTGAGTGTCTCAATCAGTGTCTGTCTAATGAGAGTGGTGTATTTCCCATAGATGTAACCTCCATAGAAACTTCTGTGATGGCCCAGCAGAAGACCAAGCTGCGGACGGGAAAGGGCGCAAACTTCCTGGCCATCGACATCAGTCCTGACGGCAACTGGGTCGAGGACAAGCCGGTCAAGAAAAAGAGAAAGCCGCGCCGCGATGAAAACTTTGCCGTTAAGACTGCTGCTTAATGTGATTGTGATGAAGTGTGTAACATGACAGTCACTTGACCTCAGATTGTGCAAAAACCAGCTCAGCTATTCTACTTTACATACAGCATGGTCACATTCATCGCAGGTCATCGTACAATTTTTTTCAAATTATTGAGAAGGCTGTGACAGAGCCAATTGCCAACAAGGTTCAGAGTGAGACAGCATTTTCTGTAACAAGACAGCTGAATTTTGCAAGACGCATTACACGACTGTCTGAAGAATGCCCTCAGTTTTGCAATCGTACGATGATGCGACGTATGTAACCGAGCTCTTAGTTACAGAAGTGTGTGATAAGGGAAGTCTGACACCATACGCATATGATGTATGTGTCAGTTGTGAGGATTTCTTTGTGCGTAACCCGTAATCTACAAACAAGGTGATGAAAAGGTGTTTCATGTATAGTCATTATATACTCTCGAAGGCTGGACCTATTGCGAATGTGCTACATTTAAACTTCATGCGGTGTGCCACTTGGACGATATTTAAAGGATTCTCTATTTAAAAGGCCACTAGCTGTCAGAATGAAAGTTACTCAGATGCATTGTGATTGTCAGAGCTGTGTGAAAAGTTTGTGTATTCTGGCATTGGTGTTGCTGACTGTGTATAGGAGCATTGCTTCAAAAACAGTGCAGGAAATAGAATTTATCCAAGATGATGATGAAAAATGCTGGCTTGAAGAGTACATATCTCAGAACATGTTGCTAAGTCATTTTGAAACCTCTCTACCTAAATACAAGAACATTCCACCAAGATGAAGCTTCTGACTTGGAATGGGTCATAATATTAGGAACATCTTTCCAAATCTCCATTTCTTAAAATTAAAGCTTTATTTTCCAATGATCAAGGTATATATAATAATAACTTCACATGCAGAATATTACGTTCACTAGCCACAATGTGGCTATCATGATTTTATGGTATTCTAAATCCAGAGGTTTATAGAGTAATTAGAAGTCAACTATATTTTGCTGTTGTTACTACAATTCATGAATTCATGTTTCATTCGTGTGGAAGACAAGAAGCTGACTTATCATTCTAAGATAATGCCTAAGGTCTAGACTCTCCTCAATCCTCTAATACTTAAACAGGGAAACCAGTTGATGTTTGACAAAGCTTAGCTAACATTATATTGTAGGGCTCAGAACAATTGTCTGTTACAACTTCACTTCAGTTGGACCACTTTCACTCTATCTGTGACACATCAAACTGCCAGTCATTATGATATAGTTTTGGATTGAACATCTACTTCTTGCAATCAATTCAATCTAGATATGGCTGCCAAAGTCTGTGTACTTTGAAAAATGTTTAAATCTAAGGGTGACATTTGTTTTAACAATAAATATTAGGTGTCAGATTAGTGGGCATTTGAACTAGATATGCTCTATATACTGCTTTTACTAAAAGAAACAAACACTTTCAAATTAGATGAAACTGCCATAAATGCTGCACTCTGTCCAAAAGATTTTTGAAGCGTCAATGATCTAGGCCAGTCATGTGCATCACTCAATGTGATGGGTTAGCAAAGTCAACCATTTCTAGTTTTAGAAGTTTGATCTCTTAGCACTATGTCTGAAGTAGCCAATGATGAAATACAAGAAGTCAAAACATTGTTTTAACTGTTAAGGGTTGCAAGTTTAAGTAGAGGAATTAGTACTGAATGCTGGGTATAAGAAGGATACAGGACACCTGGACCTTCAAGTCATAAATGTCTCAAAAGACCCCCCTCCATCTGGGAGGTAGTAATCTGCAGAATTTTGTTGCATAAGAAAATCACAACAATTACTGTGCCATGGTCATGACTGACAAGGTTACTATACATTGTACATCTTTCAAGTCACCTTGCAATTCAGACCAACTTTTGTATTGCTGTTGACTTGGTGTCATTCTCAAAGACGATGTACACTCCAGAGAGGTTGATGTAGTTGAAGATGAAAATTGTAGAGTGTAGTTGATTTAGCTTCTTGATGTAGATGTTCTTGGACTGTTCTACTAACTGAGGTAAGGGGGATGTACTGGTAACAGGCGAATTGACTTTTCAAAAAAGTGAACTGAAAAAAAAATATTTGTGAGTCTATCAAGTTGTACCCACAATCAAGTCATTAATGTCAGAGTTGATCCCCCTTGTCTGACTAGGAGTGGAACTGTGCCATTGGTAGCCAGATTTCTCACTGATGTACATTTTGTGGACAGGTGAAAAAAAGATACTGCAAAAAAGAGCTGCTTCTATTTTTGTAAACTATCTCTGAGCCCCTCTCCTCAAATTTGCTACAAGAGTACATTTTGATGGAAAAAACTACCCAAATTATAAAGATGGTCTCTACATCCCAGGTGCAATGTTGTTGTTCTTGTATAGTGTAAATGTCAGCAATCATGGCAAATATAGTGTCATGACTTTGTATTTTTGTGCAAGATTGATGGTTTTTGGACCTCCAGTGTTTTTGTCGATGTGGCCGATGTGGTGATTATGATACATATCAGTGTTTAGTAAGTTCTGTGGCAAAAGTCAACATGTTTCTGAAATATCAAAATATGTGTAATATATAAATATATATATATAGACATATTATATATATGTGCGTGTTTAAAGTATATAGATATATATAGAGAGAGAGATGTTAATGTGATTTAATGCAGGCTGAATGCAAACAGTGTCAGTGTCATAAACACCTTTATCCTAACCTATTCAATGTTATAATTGTGGGTCATTCAATGCACAATGATTAGATATGATGTTGTATTGTCTATTTATATTATTACAAAGTATATGTGGATTGAGGCCGGTGGAAATGCTATACATGTATTTGTTAATATTATGGATATTGTGTATCCTGCTTGGTATAAACAAAACAATCTCATATAAATATGATTTCAAAATTTTATTGAAGTAAAGTCTGTTTTACACAACCAGTCATGCTTTTATAACCAACATTCATCCATGCATAAAGAATTTAGCTCACTGCAATTTTACTGCTTGCTGCAAGGTGGTGTTGTGGCAAGAGTGCAGTCAAAAACATGACTGAGTTATGTTAAAACAACTTTACTTTCAAATAACGTATGGACCTATTCATGGAGAGATACATATGTAGTTGTTGATGGGCAAGACACTCAAATGTTACTCAAGTGATTGTATTTCCTTATTCATTTGTCATGACAGCCATCACAATTTTGAGGGACTGTCAAAGTACATGTACATGTTTGTTGGTAAAATATTGTCAAGAACTGAGTGGACCTATTATAAATCAACATGGGAATTCAAGGTGTAATGGGACATGAATAGAGAGGTGGGCTATGTAGATCTGCAATCGTCTGAATTCTGGGAACAATTGCACAATGAGTTCAGTATTATGATTATTTAATTTTTAATATAGAAACAAGGAAATTAAACCTATTTGAATTGAGATCGTGCCAGAATCAGATACCATGGTCATGGTGAAAAGAAAGATTTGGACAAACAGTTTTGAACTTTTTTTCAGCATGGTATTTATATTCTTTATGATTTCAGTAATGTTATAATGAATGACCAAGCAGTGTCACTGCAACCAGGCTTTGATAACTGAACCAAAATGATGTGATCTCACTAGCAACTCTGGACATATATGGCAGTTTTGTGGGACCAAACAAGACAACGCACTTTTAAGCCCACTAATGATGCCAGGTCTTGGAACTTAAGTGTCTAGAACTAATTTACTGTAACATACAAAACCCGATTCTGAAATAATTCTGTTTAATGACTGCAGTGTATATGTAGCTGCTTTCTGATTGCTAACCACGGAGGGTGTTAAGCTGTCAAAGGCATTGATTAGCTGGTATACATTAATTAACCAGTTACTTTTTATGTTGTATGGTATTTTTGGACAGTGGGGTGGTGTAGGTAGGCCTTGGCCTGAATGAATCTTCAGTCCCCAGCACCTGACTTTTAAAATGCAACTTGAATCATGTAAATCATACAGAGGAAACCAGAAGCTTTTTCTGTTTTCTTTCCGGAATTCCTGAGCTATTTTATTTGTTCAATGGGAAATATATATATGATGGGAAAAAATTGTGTTCTGATCATCTAATCAACAAGAAATTTGCTGATATTTACTGTTTTGGAAGAGAGGACACATAGGTGTATGATTATAATCCAGATTGCGGAGAAACGTCATTTTTGGCTGTCATTGGACTTGGTATTGTGTATTGCTTGATGATAATAATATATGTACATCAGGCATGGCATTGGGTGTGTAGACAGATACTCCAGTTGGTACCATACAACATGTGGAAGGGGAGCTTTGCAATATTGTGGTTCATTTAACATCCACTGTTCAGGCCACACCAATTTGATTTATTGGTTCTCAGATTTCTGTAGGACATCAATGAATGCAGTAGGCAGGTAGAAACAAATAGTTCTAGGCATCTTGTGACAGTCCCAAATACTACCATGGAGTCAAAACCTACATACTAGGCTGGTTTAAATTCAAACAACAAATTTTGAACTTTCATTTAAATGGATGCATTGTTAAAAACCAGGAACATGGACTTTCTTCATCTGTTGTATGAGGATTTGAGGGTTGATTCCAAACCTGAATGGTATGTGTCCATTTTTGTTTTTGGAAAACAGAAAAAAGGTGGGAAAGTTGGAAAACAAGAAATCAAATTGGTGTATCCTCATTTAGCAGTGGTTAGGACATTGTGATTAAAGAAATCTTGTACCTACATTCTTTGTCCATGCAATGCGTAATCTTCTTTAGAAGAAATCCTGCTATCATTCCAAATCCTTCATAGTGAGAACTGCTAAGAAAACATAATATAAAATAACATCAACAGGACCAAAGTTACCCAAGATGAAATCATTACCAAGAATACAAACAACTGTACCAAAACTATGTTGATGAAGCAACATGGCCAGGTACTGTCACCACATTTGTAACTTATAAACACCAATGATAGGTTAGATGACGCTTACAATTGACAACACAATGTTTTTGCTTTGCATGTAGATACCTGTGTGTGATCATTAAACAGGACCTGGTAAAACATGGACAGGATTGGAATAATTGATCATTAAATCCAAGAGGATTTGCATTACTGTAAGTTGAATCTCTGCATAGCTACATTCAACCACTTTTTAATGCACCTTATAGGGCCATGTTAAAGAACCTGTGCTGCATACTTCGTGGAACAACATATAGGATATGTAACGCGATGCATTACCTTGCATGTGAACAAGAACTCTCACTGTGGTGGACATACTCATAATACCTACTCAGATAAGCTTGTATTGGTTGTCAGTGCAAACAACATTGCTTCACAGGGCTGTTGTAAGTTACGTTGTTTCTGCCAGTGGTTAGAGTGTATGAAGTGTTTCCAAGCTGTTATGATGACATCTCGGAGTAAACAGAAATGCTGAGACTTTCAAATATAAGTTGTGGAAATAAACTGGAGGCAAATGCACTTTTGTCTGCTTTCTTTTATGCCAATAATTGTGTAGAATTTCAAACATCAATATCACAATCGTAATCATAGTAATATAGTAAATGTATAATAGTCTATCTAGACTTATCCTACTCAAAAAGGTATAGGTATGCACAGTATTATTTTATTTATTTTTTACAATTTTTATTTATTGGACTTAGCAGATTTGAAAAAAAAGACATCTTGATTTTTACAAGACCGACTCATTGGGAAATATGCAATGTAACAAAAGACGATGAAAAGATCTTTAGAGCGTACACCATCTTATCATATAAAGCAGATGTGATTTCTCATCAGAACCAAAATTCAAAACAATAACGAGGAAAACGATCTGTATAAAGATATATAAAAAAGCTTGTCCTTCAAATGAGTTCTCTTTCAGCACCATGGAGAGAAATTCATTCGACCTCCAGAAAACATTGCCCAAGCGCGCCCTCTAGCGGCCCCATGATACCATGATTACTATGAGTGTCGTACAGACCTTTGCCAGGAGTCCCCTCATCTTGTACACATTGCTTCTCTTCATATTCACCCCCCCCCCCCAGCCCCCAGCCCCTTACTGCATCGCTTTGGATGTTACTGGTGGTT